GTTGGCACCAGTCACCATACAGTGTTGTCATTCAGATTTAACTGTTACCTAGTTCATGATAAGGCCAGGCCAAGGTGCAAATATTACAAGGGAAATTACAATGGGATGAGGGAAGAGATGAGGGTATCAACTGCTGGCTCATCTATTAAGGCAATAAGAACGCAGACACCACGCTGAAATATCATAAATCCGCAAAATGAATCATATTTTGATCGGAGCATAAAATATACCCAAGACCAAAACCCAAAAGCCGTAGGAATATGAGGGGATCCTACATGAAACCATGGCGTGACAAAATTAAGAAGAAAACCTGGGGAAATTCAAGACGGGGTTAACAATTGATGAAAAGAGACAGGAGGACAAAAGAGCGAAACCAAGCAAAGATGATAGATGTAGGAGGCCAGAAAAGGAGTTCAGTGCTGGTCAGAATAAGTCAAACCAAAGGTGCACTGCCAAGTCGAAAATTGGAAACGTAGCAGGTATCAGACCTGAGGCTTCAAGATGGTAGTTACGCAGATTCTGACCAGGATAAAGCTGAGGCATTGAACAGCTTCTTTTCCTCAGTGTTCACAAGAGAGGATGCAACTAACCTTCCTGCGTTTGAGGACAGACGGTTCGACACAGCACTGACCCACATTGTGTTCACAGAAGAGGGTATTAGAAATAAATTGTCCAGGCTAAAGGTCCATAAGAGTCCTGGACCTGACATGGTGCATCCTAGAGTGCTAAGGGAGCTGTGCAACGAGCTTGCAGAGCCCCTGAAGATTCTGTTTTGTAAATGCCTGGATGAACAAATGGTCCCCAGTGAGTGGAAAGTGGCTTATGTGAGTCCTATCTTCAAGAAGGGCGATAGTCACTCCACGAACAACTATAGACTGGTGAGCCTGACCAGCATAATATGTAAAGTACTTGAGAGTATTATCAGAGATGCAGCGATGGAACATCTACTACGAAACAACCTTGTAAAAGATTGCCAACACGGTTTTATGCCGGGGCGCTCTTGCTTGACACAATTGCTCAAGGTATTGGATATTTGGACCCATATTCTAGAACGGGGTGGTAATATCGACAATATTTACCTAGATTTTGCCAAGGCTTTCGACAGTGTACCCCACGAAAGGCTGAAAATCAAACTGGAAGGGTACGGAATTCGTGGAAATGTCCTGGCGTGGATAGAAGACTTTCTACATGACCGCAAGCAATGTGTGGTGATTAATGGCACGAAATCGTCATCTGTACCTGTAACAAGTGGGGTACCGCAGGGTAGTGTATTGGGCCCGCTGTTGTTTGTTTGTTTCATAAATGATATGCCTGACGTTGTACACTCCTCCATACAAATGTTTGCCGATGACGCCAAGTTATTTCGGGAAATCAAGAACCAAGCGGACTGTGAAGAGCTGCAGAAGGACCTCTGTGGGCTCCAGGAATGGTCGAAGGAATGGCTGCTGAGATTCAATGTCACGAAGTGTAAGAGGATGCACCTGGGCAACACCAATTTGCAAGATAAGGACCATGTCCCAACGGATGAAGAAAATGGTAGAAGGAGACGGAGAAGGACCTAGGTGTGTATGTTGACAATGAGCTGAAGTTCTCGGGCCATTGTGAGAAGAAGGTAAATCAGGCAAATAAATTATTGGGTCTTATAAGAAGGTCGTTCAGATATTTAGACGGTCCGTCCCTCGTGACGATCTTCAGGAGTGAAGTGCTTCCTCATCTGGAGTACTGTCACCCCATCTGGTCCCCGAGATATGCTAGGGACTGTCAGTTGGTTGAAAATGTTCAAAGGAGGGCCACCAAACTGGTGCCTGCACTTCGGCACCTCAGCTACCCTGAGAGATTGGAGCGCCTGAACTTGCCTAGCTTATACCACAGACGGGCAAGGGGGGACCTAGTTGAGGTGTATAAGCATCTCAGGGGGCACTACTCAGTTGAGTGCCCACTTGAGCGGACGCCACGGCTGGTGTCAGCAGCTCACATTGAAGAAGCTTAAAGTCCTGGAAACCGGTGAGGGCAACTTTCGGAGGAGGGTTGTAAACCCCAAAATGTCCAGCCTAGAGAGGTTAGACGGCACCGGTCAGGAGCTCTTTCAAGAGAGGAAGACTTGACCCAACACCGGAAGCGGGTTCAGGCATGCCATTCAGGAGCCGCATGTCCAGTATTTGCCAACAGTGCGTGACAGAGACGTGACCGATCGCCCGGGCGGCTAGCGAGCCGACCTTTTGGTGAAGAATATAAAGGAAAAGAGACGTGACCGATCGCCCAAGCGGCTAACAAGCCGATCAGTGGCGAAGAGGATAAAAGTAAAAGTATAAAAGTACCACCCTGTGAGAATCCTGCTCCTCAAATCAGGTGAGGGCGGAGGAGGAACAAGTTAAGGGAGGAAGGAGGCACTTAATCCTCCAACTAGCACTTACTACTGGAGTTAATTTATATATATGTTTCCACCTTTATGACAGTCAACATTTACTCTGCCTACTGTATCTCTTAACTAAATAAATACTATTATTTTTAATGAAATTAGTAAATTATTTTTCTGAGTCTCATTTGAGAAACATGCAACGTGAAGCCAATTGTCTCTAGACGGGTGGTAAATACGTGTTGTATTATTTATTCTCTATCACATGAACTACTGACTGTTGGTTGGTTGTATCGGGAACATCTCCTCCGCTCTAAGTTCAGCCTCACGTATATAATCCAGACCTTGTAATGGTTTACTCCTCCACTGCCAGTACACACACGTGGAGCAAAATACCTGTAAGATAATCCAAGAAACACTCAGGAAATGTTATACCTCCACAAGGGCCGCTGATAAACATGTGTACGGAATATGTAATATATATACAAGGTCCAATTTTTATTAGAGTGTCACCACCTGGTGGTCAGACACGACTGGTATCCTCTGTTGTCTCGGAGGCGGTGAGTTCAAGGCTGTTCCAGCGGTTTCGTGTTCTTAGGACACAGAGGTCTGTGTTACACCCCCTGGACTCACCCATGACCTCACCGTCTCTGAGAGGACGTCGGGCACTTGTCGTGGATGGTGTGTTGGGTTGGTGTTTTTTTTTTTTTTTTACAAAAGTGTAATTTCACGCTGCTTGGTGCTGTGTACTGTAGAACAACACTCAACAGAATTCGAGAATCGTAGGAAAACGTCGCCAGGATGATGATTGTGAAGGTGGCGGTATAAACCACTAGAATCTGACTCTTAACCTTTTTACTACCACGCCCCCTCTAGGAATTGGTCCTTACCTCCACGCCCCCCTTGCATCTATGAATAAAATTCCTTCCCAGATTTTAAAGAAAAATGAAAAATATTGTGTTTTTAGTCTTTTTATTGAGGATAAATTAGTGAGATACTTGACACTGCTTCTTAGTTACTAGATCTTGACTGCGTGGTTGAATGCCAGAGAGTGCACAACGTAAATCCCCTTCAACATTCAGCCTGTTTCTGTACTTGGTCTTGACAGCAACGAGCGTGGAATATGCAGCTTCACAAACATACGTGGATCCGAGCATAGTTAGAATCCGAAGAGCCTGATGTGAGATCAGAGGGTAAACAGGAAGGTACTTGACCCAGAACGTCTCAAGATCCAGTTCTTTGAAGTCTTCCTTAGCTGTGGAGTTGAACTTCAACTCAAGAAACTCCTCTTGCACTTCATCCGAAACATCAGCTACTTCACATTGAAATGGGTTCCTGATGAATTTCCAGGCTTCACGCTTCTCATCTATCTCTGGGAAGTATCTGATGAATTCTGTTTTCAAGTCAGTTAGATGAGTGATTATTTGTTTATTTAACTCAGAATAAAGGTTAGCGTGAATGAGAGCAGAATCCAAGTTACTAAAACTGGCTGTATTTCCCTGCTGAATTCGACACTTCCAGAGGTCGAGTTTGGCCATGAAGGTTTGAATGGTGTCGTGGTGCATGATGATGTTGATGTTTTTCCCTTATAGTTTAAGGTTGAGAGCATTCAACGCTTCGAAGATGTCCACCAGGTAAGCTAGAGATAGCTGAAAGCCTTCACACTGGAACTTGTCATGGAGATCTGCCTTCTGCTTCGAATCAAGAAATATTGCTACTTCTTCTCGCAGTTCATAAAGCCGTCCAAGCATGTTCCCCTTTGATAGCCATCGTTCGTTCGTGTGAAAAAACAAGGTTTCATGTTCAGATTCCATATCCTTACACAGCAGTTTGAAGAGACGACTGTTTAAGGCTCCAGCTTTGATAAAGTTGACTACCTTGATAGCCACGTTCAGGACATCCCGAAAGAAGTTTGATACATCATGAAAAATAACTGCTGTTATTGTACAACTTTCCATGGGGTGACAGAACAGCATTTCATCTCTTTTACACTGTTGCCTGACACGAAACGAGCATACATCAGTAGCTGAGATACTTTTGCATTTTTCATAAACTTCTCAATATTAGCCCACGCTCTTGTTTAGAGAACAAAAACTATAATTATAATTAGAGAAATTCCTACCAATATTTCAACACTCCTGAATTTGTCTTATTTCTGCAACATGTCAAATTTAACCAGTATGGATTAATTCGTATTATTAATCTCTCTGGGAATTTTTTTTGGATTTGGGAAATAGGACGAGAGCACACAGCAGTGGAAAAGAATTACGAGGGAAATGGTTTTAGGCTCGTAGTATACCTGGTGTCAACACTCGTCTCCTGCCATCCTTCCCTCCTCTTGGTGTCTGTTTTTGTTGAGTTGAACAAGTTAATCTTTATTTGATGATCCTGAAGCCTCTTTACCTGGGCATAAACCCATGAAAGACCGTCTCACTCTACTGCTTGGTGCCAATGCTTCAGGGGATTTCCGACTGAAGCCTATGCTTGTCTACCACTCTGAAAACCCCAGGGTGTTCAAGCAACAGAAAGTGGTAAGAACAATGCTTGGAGTTTATTGGAAGTCCAACCGTAAGGCATGGGTGACAAGACAGTTCTTTAATGAATGGGCTGTTGATGTGTTTTGCCCCTCTGTCAAGAGCTACCTAACCACCAATAAACTCCCTTTAAAGGCTCTTCTCCTCATGGATAATGCTCCTGGTCATGACCCTGACCTTGCCAGCAATTTGGAGTATCAATTTGACTTTGTGAAAGTGTTGTTTTTGCCTTCAAACACTAATTTATACACCAATGAGGAAAAGGCAGAAATATTAGAAAAGATACAAGCAGTTGCCAAAGATGAGGTGAGTACTGCAGATCTTTATAATTTTGAACATTTGATATTTAACTTAGTGTACCGTAGTAATGCTTAAGATCATTCATATACTGTACATTTTTTTATGTTTTACAGTAACAGTTGGTTAATAATAATATGAGAAATAAGAAGAAAAAATAATTTATGCCTTACATTGACTATCTCTTACAAGGGTTGTTGTTACCATTAGCTAAGAGCAAACTGCAACTGCTTAATTAGGATTTTGTTGATAAAATAATCATTAAACAGTTATGAGGTGATGGTTTTTTGGTTCACTTAGTTATAATATTTACTTTATAATGTACTATATATTTCTAATTTTTAGTATATTTATGCATAATTTGTTAATATACAATTACTGTATTCTTTTCATGTAAAACATTTACTCATCAAAGTATTACAAGATCTTCATCCTTTAATAAAAACCAATCTCGCATGATATTAAACCCTTAATAATAAGTAACTTTAATTTACCTGTACTTTAGTAATACTATACCTGACCATTCCATTCATAATACAGTTAACCCTCACTTTACGCGGTTAATGTAACCCGGAGGGTACCGCGGAAAGCGAGAAACGCGTAAAGTGAATAACATAACATATGGGATTAATTGAAATGGAGTCCAGGCCGATCCCCAAACTCCACTTTTTGACGACACATAACTATGTTGTAGTAAAAATTTTATCTTAACTTTATGATGGTATGAAAAAACAAGTAATATAGAAGAGGTTAGGTTAGGAAAAATAAAGGTTAACATAGGAAAAATAAAGGTTAGGTTAGAAAACTAAAAATTAGGTGGAACACTTACGTTAGTAGAAGAGATGGGTCGGCATACGGGGATGGAGGATGGTTCCGAGGCAGAGGGCAGATTACTGGCCCTCAGGTGAATCACCATTACTAGGTGAATCACCATCACTGTCACTTACAGTTGTCAGGGCTTCCCTGATAAATCCCTCAAAGTCATCTTCACTGCCACTATCACTGGCTTGGGCTGGCTGTGGTGGGTTGCGGGCGAAGAAATCTGTTATGCTTTGCTGACGGCTGGCGTTGATGTTGTCGTGATACACCTTGATGTACGGCTCCATAGCCTGCACCAGCCGGGTATGGAAGACTTCATAGCGGTCATCGTCATTGTCGCGGGAAAGGAAGGACTTCATTTTCTCTGCACACTCCATGGCACCCTTAATATCACGATGACTTAAACTGTGTTCTTCGGAGAATGACGCACCTTCTTCCTCCTCTTCACTGACGTGTTCTTCTTCCAACATCTCGTCGGCAGTCACTTCAGGATCTCTGATCATCTCCAGGATGTCGTCGTTGGTGGTCTCGGAGAAGCCTGGAACTGTAACAGTCTGCGCAGCTTCTCTGGCAAGGTCCACTGCTACTGCAACATTCTGAACCTCACCAGTCACAGATTGACTCCTCCTCTCACCTGGTATTCCATGCAACACATGTCTCCATGCGTGACGAATTGTAGCAATAGACAGCTGATCCCATGACTCCACCAAGAAGTCCACAGCTTTCTTGATGTTAAATACTCTCCAGAATTGTTTGAACAGTATTTTTTTGCTGTTCCAACTGTTGATCCTCATCTTCTTCGCTCTTGCTATCGGTGGTGGTGTCACTCAGGTTACGCAACTCTTCCCTGGTGTTGGTGTAATCGTTCAGGAGCTGGAATTTTTTTGTTGAGAATGCAGCTTTTACATTGCAGATTAACTCCTGGTCCATGGGCTGGATTAATGACGTAGTGTTGGGAGGAAGGAAGACCACTTTTACGTTGGGGTGACGATCTAACAGTAGGGGCGAGTGTCCTGGTGCGTTGTCCAGCAGCAACAAAATATTGAATGGCACATTCTGTCGCTCACAGAATTTTTTTACATCGGGAACAAAACAGTCATCAAACCAGGAGAGGGACAGTGTAGAGAACATCCACGCCTTACGTGCGGTCAGCCAGTGGACATTTAGCTTGGTCATGTCCATGGTTTTGTAGGCGTGCGGCTTGCGTGCTGTGTGGATCACCGATAACTTGAGCTTACAGGTACCGGAGGCATTGGTGGTAAACAGGACGGTGATGCGTTCCTTCTGCATCTTCCGGCCCCGAATCCTGCTGGCATTCTTTACAACGAAGGACTTGGAAGGTAGCTTTTTCCAGAAAAGACCAGATTCGTCCATGTTAAACACCTGGTCAGCACTCGCTTCTTCACCACCAATGTTTATATTGGTGATCTTGTTCCGGATCTTAAACCTCTGTAACCACCCAGAGGAAGCATTAAAGGGTTTGGGCTCTGTAATTCCCATCTTTCGTGCCACTGCCATGTACAGTTCACGTGCGTAGTCCTTAACAGAGCGCGTGTCGACCGCCATGTTCCGTCGCGCCTGACGCACCAAGTACCTCACAAGTAATTTTTCTGTCTTGAGAAGCACCTGGTTGTGAAAATACTTGATCATAGAAGCACCTGTAGACTTTGTGATCTTCATGTGCTCCTTTATCTTGGCTGCATCCTTCTTTATAGTCCGGATCGTAGATTCGTTCACACCATGCTGGCGCGCCAAATCAACCTGCCTTGTTCCTTTCTCCAACTCTTGGATGATGGTATACTTCACCTCGTAGCTTAAGGAACGTCGTGTCTTCTTTGGCTTAGTGCCGCTGGGTCCAGATAAGGAAAGGTTTCTCTCTGGGGGTGGTGGTCTGGCGGAAGCCATTTTACGGAACAATGGATGCGTGTTTACACGGAGTGGCCTTGAGGGATGAAACTGCCGCGGCTAGGTCAAGCGTCGTCTTTCCTCCCTCCCTCCCCCGGGTGGACACGTCATAATACTTTAAGCCAATTACAGCTAGCAGCAGAGGGGGGTAGGGATGCATGGCCAATCACAGGTCTGATACGTCATATGACGTCAGTGATAACGCAACAAAGACACACACTGAGCAACCTTACCGCGCCGCTTGCCCAAGCGGAGGGAGGAGGCAAGGAGCACAGGCAGGCGGGTGGCGGGTGGGGCGAATCTAAAAATAGTGTCGCGCCGGACACTCTCCGCGTAATGGGGTTCACGTACCGCGTAATTTGAGCACGTGAGGTTCTGGCAAGGCACCGCGTTAACGTGGAAACGCGGAATGCGGGACCGCGTAAAGTGAGGGTTAACTGTATATAAATTTTAGTCATCCCTTATCTTTCTTACGACTTGAGCTCTAATAATGTCAAATATTTTTCTGCTGAACTTGGCTTGCTTTTTTTTTTTACCCAAATTCCGTAAGGGTGAAGTTTTTTAGCCATATCCCGAATTTTTGGTCATACAGTAATTACCAAATTCCGTAAGCGCGAATTTCCATAACGTGAGTTTCTATAAGGCAGGGGATGCCTGTCCTGTACTTACTTACTTTGCCAACAAATATTAGGATAAATTGGATCTCCTGAAAATTCACCTGCCCCAGGCTTATTTCACCTAAAGATTATCAGTAATAACCCCATCAGAAGGGGGGGGGGAGGGTTAGGTTAGGTTAGGTTTGCATTAGGGTGGTCAGTTAGGTTTGGTTAGTGTTAGGTTTGTCGTGTATTGTATTAGAATGGTTAATCTTCAAGTAGAACAAGTTGGGGGAGGCAATCTTCAGGTGATCTGTTAAATCTGTGCATAACTGTATTTAGCAAATCAATGAACCCTTTTCCTGAGTGACATCGACTGACTGACTGAGAGAACTTTTTGCTCCAACTTAGCCCTTCCCCAGCACCCTTCCTCCACCCAGAGGTAGGATGTACACTTGTACAGTGTCCAGTAGACCTAAATAGCTGATAATAAATTTTTGGCTATCCAATTGTTAACTTAAACTTTGGAAATAGTGGAGACAATTTTTGCATGGAATCATTTGGAATTAATAGACTTTATTTTTTATAGTAATACTATGGAAGTAAATATTCTTAGTTTGTGTAGGTACTTTTATAGTCAACTTGATTTTTGTATGATATTATTTCAGGAGTAATGTGCATTCTTTCTTCTTTTTTTTTACAAAAACTGATTATCAAATAAATACACTGTAGTGGTTGTAGCAAAGAAATCATTTTGTGAGATGGTATGTAATAAAGCCTGCCTGACACCTGAGATATATGACCTAAGACCTGGTAGTGAGGACAAAAGAGAACTATAGTGTTTTGGTCCTGTGTTAGTCATGGCCAATTCACAGCACCTTCAGGAGTCATATCAGGGGTTCAGACTGACACAATACTGATTTTAGAACCTTTTGTGTTGAAGTGTGAATAAGGAAGGTGTTCATGACGTTACAATTGGTCTTAAAATTAGTGACATGCTAACTGAATTTACTTTAAATACGTAGGTGGTGAGGAGATATGTATTTCCCCGGTCCACCTAAAAAATTTTACACGTTTAAGTTAAGGGATTCGGAATTAGCATGAAATTGATTTTTAGATGCATAAACTCACTATAAATGTCTTCTTTACTTACTCAAAATAATTTGGAACCCTTGATAATGACTTTCAGGAAACACGACTAACAAGTCCATGTTGTTTTCCAGGGGCTTGACGTGGTAAGAATGTGAATTTCATGCATGTTGTAAATTGTCTGGAGAAAGCCAAACCATTACTGTTGTTGACCAACACAAAAGAGTTGGCAATAAACCCTTCAATACAGGGAGTAGTAAAGTCCTGGGTGTGCCTTACTGTGAGAAGTGTTGCGAGCATGTTGTGGTGACCTGGTGTTGATCTGCCATAGGTCTTGCCATTGTCTCAGTAACATCCCTCTTACGGGCTAAAACTGATGAAATAATTCCAACAAACAATTAATAGCCAACTTATCCAGATGAAGACATTTGTGTGTTGCAGCATGGCAGCAATACACCTTTCTTCCCAAAATTACTAAAATGCCATAGTAGTGGGATAAAGGTACACAACAGTGCTGCACCACCACAGTAAATGTCGGTGCAAGTAATGGCAGACTTGCATCAGCAGTGCTCATGAGGGTCACCTCAGCTGCATCAGACAGCAAAGTGAACGCTCCTCACACACCACACAGGTGATACATGTCCATACTCATGCCCAAGACAAGAGTCCTGGAATTTATCACCCTGTCAGCACCATATTGTTCAATTTCAAAATTTTTTGGTGTTATCTTAGGCACATATGAAGGTTTATTATCTGCCCACATTACTTACACTTTTCAGCTTTACAGCAGTGTCGCTGTGTACTAGGCGCCACCCTGGACCATCAGACTGTTGACCCAGTAGTTTAGTTCGGACTTATTCGTTAATGGTCGCTCAATATTTTTACACTTGATATGCTGTAGTCTCACGTTCAAGTATCAAGAACAATAGTGAGTATAAGTCATGGAAAGAAGCACAAAAGCCTTAATTTGTTGTTAACTTGTATCAATGGTGAAACTATGAAATGTGACCCATTAATAGGAAGTTGCCACAACATAACCAACCTCTTACTTGAAGGTTAAGGCGAGGATGAATAATTTTCCTGATTATTTGATCATAGTTGTAGATTGTTCAATGTCTTAATGTTTAAGAACTTGTTCAATAATGGCTCATGCATAGTTGTAGGTTATCATGGCAGAGAGCACCCAGTCCCCCCAAGAGGGCTGGGGGCCTCCCTTGCCACACATGCTCATCTAGACAACAGCACCTCATTATTCACTGAAGCTTCAAAGTTTATTTTTCCTGTAAACAACTTATTTTCAGTCTTCGATCATACCATCCAATGTTTATAGTTTATAGAACAATCATGTTAACATTTACTACAATATGTTGACAATACTGTGTCAGAATTCATGTTAACATTTACTACAATATGTTGACAATACTGTGTCAGAATTCATGTTAACATTTACTACAATATGTTGACAATACTGTGTCAGAATTCATGTTAACATTTACTACAATATGTTGACAATACTGGGTCAGAATTCATGTTAACATTTACTACAATATGTTGACAATACTGGGACAGAATTCATGTTAACATTTACTACAATATGTTGACAATACTGGGTCAGAATTCATGTTAACATTTACTACAATATGTTGACAATACTGGGTCAGAATTCATGTTAACATTTACTACAATATGTTGACAATACTGGGTCAGAATTCATGTTAACATTTACTACAATATGTTGACAATACTGGGTCAGAATTCATGTTAACATTTACTACAATATGTTGACAATACTGGGTCAGAATTCATGTTAACATTTACTACAATATGTTGACAATACTGGGTCAGAATTCATGTTAACATTTACTACAATATGTTGACAATACTGGGTCAGAATTCATGTTAACATTTACTACAATATGTTGACAATACTGGGTCAGAATTCATGTTAACATTTACTACAATATGTTGACAATACTGGGTCAGAATTCATGTTAACATTTACTACAATATGTTGACAATACTGGGTCAGAATTCATGTTAACATTTACTACAATATGTTGACAATACTGGAGTTAGGTCACTTCATTATATTACAATATCGACATTGGGAATGTTAACATTGCTACAATATGTTGACAGTACTGGATTTGGAGATTCATGTTAACATTGCTACAATATGTTGGTGACAATGCTGGGTCAGAATTCGTATTAACATTTACTACAATATGTTGTTGACAATGCTGGGTCAGAATTCATGTTAACATTTACTACAATATGTTGACAATACTGGGTCAGAATTTATGTTAACATTTACTACAATATGTTGACAATACTGGGTCAGAATTCATGTTAACATTTACTACAATATGTTGACAATACTGGGTCAGAATTCATGTTAACATTTACTACAATATGTTGACAATACTGGGTCAGAATTCATGTTAACTTTGACCTCTAATTGGTGATAAAATAAAGTACCAGTGTAGGTAGACGCTCAGTATAATTTGGAACCCATTTTGAACATTATATGTATGCTCTTTCTTATGTCTGCTTATTTGAAACCTTGCTTTATCTCCATTTATGAGAAACAATTTAATGTACAAAGCCTAAAGCTTTGAGAATCCTTGCCCTGGCTGGGTTTGGAAGATCAAGATTCTGTTATTATGGCTCCTTCACTAATGGAGTCAGGGAACATGTGCGCGTCAACTTGAGTGCTAGAGCCTTATCACTAAACTCGTGAAGTAAGATCACAAATATACGTAGAGGTGGATGTTCCCATATAAGCTTTGGGAATACAGAACTGGAATTGATACCATGGTGGGCTGCTCATAATAGTAATTTAGTTGTTATTACTTGTTTCCTGTAATGCACTTGTTGACCATATACTGTACATGTTGCTGTGTTGTATTATATTTAGGATATGTATACTTTTTGAATAAGTGTTATGCACTATTTACTCATTCATGTAGATAAATCACTTTATTGTTCTTGAGCGCTACGTACATAACTTAGAAATTCAGATAAAGTTTATAAATGTACGGTACTGTACAGTATTTTCACTATACAGTATTTATCTTGTTTATTAGAGTTAGGTCCAGCTAAACATTGAAAATTTTGGGACCACAGGAAGATTAAGCATCTCAGCTTATTTCATCTGATGTTTAAACACTAACACTAACTTAACCTAACCTACTGTAGTAAAATATGCTGGGAAGACTAATCTTCAGTTATCTTCAATTGATACAAAATTTTTATATCCCAACAAGAAATAGTATCCTACTTTCATCTGATAATTGTTTCATTGGGTCATCTTATATTTATAATGTGGACCACACTCCTCAACCAATATAATACATATTGTAACCTCAGATTAATATCCCAATAAGGGTAAGAAGATGGACTCCTCACCTATGACACTGTTTGGCTACTTCAACGAGCGAGTGAGGGCCAACCTGCACTTGGTAGTGGCCATGTCCCCCATAGGTGACACCTTCGGGACCAGGCTCAGGATGTTCCCCTCCCTCATTAACTGCTGCACTATAGACTGGTAGGTCCTGGTGGGTCTACTGCTTCATGTGTTAGAAGATGTCGTGTTGCCAGGTGTCCCTCACTTGTGTATTGTCAGGTGTCCCTGGTAGCGTAGTGTGTAATGTTGTGGTAGTGTAGTGTATAATATTGTTGTGGTACAATAATGGTTTCTTCTTATAGGATTTTAGAAAGTTAATAAAAAAAAATTTACAGGTTTTTACTTTCAGTGCTATGTGAGAGCTCATTGATATTATCTATAGTGCTAATCCTTTTTATGCAGGGCTTTATAATAATAGTAATACAGTAACAATAAGATTAGTAAGAATTATAATGATAATGTACAGTAATACTGTCATAATAATGCTAATAATAATAATGATAATAATTTCATTAATAACAATACTGTAATAATAATTGGCAATGTGTTTCCAAAGAAAATTTTGCCTTCTTAAAGGGAAAATTTTTACCCCCCAAAATATAATACAGTACTACTATATGTATCAAGTAAATATGCACTAAAATAGTATAATAAATACCTGCTTCTCAAATAAAATCATAAATAGAAATAATACTGTAGTACAGTTACCAGCAAGAAACATAATGCTTGTCATGTAATTTCACATCAGATTAATTGCCTTCCTGTTTCTCTTAATGCCACTGCTGCCTCTAGCACTTAATGTCCTCTGGCCAAGCTTAGGAAAACAATGGAAACACATATACAAAAAACATACACAAAAAACACAAACAAATTCCAGGTTGCAGAATGAAATGTACAGTCCTCCAAAAAAAAGGTATTGTTAACCATGGGGTCGATGTGTTTCGAGGACACGTCGCTACCTGGCATTTAATTGCAATTCTCAAAACCCCCTCCCACACCCTCCATCACACGCATTGCTACCGTCGTCGTCTTGCCTGGCGAATCGGGTGTAAATATGCACAATGAAAGCACCGCTAAAATTTTTGTTGTAATAGCTGAAATACTAAGTGCCACGAGGATTTTATATAGGGTATTTATACATCTTAGCACGGTGAGGAAATCGAGTGACTTTTATTTTGTTTCTCTCTCAGATATTGTGTTTGGGACAATTTTTTATACGTTCTGGTCAGTATGGCAACCACAGCTCGTTTCCTATTAGGAAGACAGTAGATCGTTAGTGACTAATATCCTCTGTTTTTGAGTTCCATAACTTCAAAACTCTGTAGAATGCAGTTCTGTTAAATGGCAAATGCCAGTATAATTCTGTAGAGTCACAAGATTATGACCTTTTCTTGTTCAGGTTTACTGCATGGCCTGATGATGCCTTGGAGATGGTGGCCACATCACTGCTGCAGGAAACTAAACTGGAGGCATCATTGTTGGCTCACTGTGTCACTGTCTGCAAGTATTTCCACCACAGCATTGATGACCTTGCCCACAGGTAGTTTCAAGGACATCCACACCTTGCTTATGTTATCATTTTCAGTTTAACTACCAAGGGTCAAAGACTGCTTCGTGTGGATTTCATTTTAGCATTTATCCAGTTGTTTCTCAAGTAGGCAAACCTGAGCAATCTATAGACTGATGTCTGTCTTTTTATACTAGAAATTTGTTTTTAATTATGTAAATACAGTTTACCACAGTCAGAAAACTCTCTTCAATAAAACATCCATGTTTGATTGTTTGTGTTTTAACTTCTGACTGGCCAATGATGATCATGTAGAAAATAATAGTACTGCACAGGCATAGGACCACTGATCTGGCATGCTTGGGAGCTGGGAATGGAGGTGCTGGGATTGGGCAAGTGTGATCGACGTGACCTCTGCATCTTGAGACGCGATTGGTACTAAGGCATTGTGGGTGGTAGCATGTGAAGTTCGCATGTCACCACATGAGACAGGAGAGTTTATCCCATTATTCTGAGTTAGTTTAGTGCATTTTATATTCAAATAGGCCCACTAAATGTCAAAATTTCATATGAGGTGACCTGAAGCTCTAAAGATGCACACCATATGACTTGACTTGAAGCCCAGGGGTTCAAGACATTAATTAACCCATGAGAACCTGGTGGGCTTCCAAGACCTCATTAAAACCATAAGACATACTGTACATGAGACGTTGGTAGCCCTCCAATACCTTAATTAACCAGACATACATGAGACCTTGATGAGTGCTCCTACAGGTTCTATGAGCAGCTGCGGCGGAGGTACTATGTGACATTGTGACACCCACCTCCTACCTGG